TTTTCATTCTCTTGCATCTCGTAAGGACAGGACTTGTCTGACAAAGCATGAGATGCTGTAATGAAGGAGCCTTTTCTAACTGATCCTCTGCACAAGAGAAGTGGGGCTCAGATTGTGGCCGGGAGGTCAAGCCAAAGCCTGGAATGACTTCTGCCTAATGAAGTCAAGGGACATGCAAAGCTCCTCTTCTGAAGGAGGGCTTAAACCAGTCTGGCTTCTTCCAAGAGGCAATTCTTTTGTTGGGTTGTGCATAATAACTGTTAAACAGACTCTTCCCCCTGTGTTCACTGTGAAGAGATCCACTGGCAGCCCTGGGATAGGTGATTTAGAGGATTTATAACAACTACACACTGATTAAAGGCTTCTGCTAGCGAAGCCTAGTAACCTTTTGTAGAGGAAAATATGTTCCTAACATCAAGGTCTGTTAGGAAGTGGAATGATCTTAAGAGAAGTCATTTAAGTTCCATAACAAGAGTTAGTGTCAAAATACTCCAGAATATGGATCATAGGGACCGATTCTCCACAGACAAGATGAGCGCCATTAGTTCTGATTCTGTGCTGTTTGAGGGGTTTTCTCCTCCACCTTTTCCCCCTCTCTTTCTCCTCCACCCTTTTATTAATCTGTTTTTGTTACACTGAATAAATCAATCATCCCTGTTTGGCTTTCAGAAACGCCGGGGAGGAATGTGTTCCTTCCTGCATCGTGTGTGCTGGACTGCGTTGCCACTACAGTTACTCCTGCTGCTCCTGCTGCTCCTGGCATTCCTCCTTCCTCTGGCGGAAGAGACACACAGCTGCAAGCTTGCCAACAACTTTGCCCGTTCCTTCAGCCTGATGCTGAGATATGAAAGTCCTCCTCCAACTTAACTCCTCTGCATGGCAAGAGGTGACACTCAGAAATCAAGTCTGCTTTCTCCTTGATTTCTTGACAATTTCCAAGTACTTCTAGGTTTAGGGCTTCTAACAAGGCCACCTTATTAACTGGAAATGTGGTCAAATCAAAGCAGCATAAGGCTAATCCACATAATCAGGTATTAGCTTTTAGAACTAAATTAATCAGGTATTAACATTTAGAGCTAAATTAATATTTTTACAATATTATATGAGTATATTTATACTATGTGAATATATATATATATATAGTATGTATATATCAGTATAAAAATATACATTTTATATATATATGACAAAACTAAAATCCACTGTTCTGATTTGATCCTGCTATGTTTTTTCTTCTGCCTTTGCTCAGCAGTGACTAGCAGATGTTTAAAACTGCATTTTTGATGTTTACAACTGAAGTCAAACAAGCAGGAGAAAATAAGGGATGTTTCATGGAATTGTGCCAGAAAAATATTCTCAATGAGAATTGAGAGACTGATGAAATGGAGTCATGTTGAAATAAGCTGTTTAACATTCAGCCCTAGCAAAAGTTGGAAAATTATATTTAGGATCAGTTAGCTTATCTTTGGCCTAAGCCAGCAATCACAGAAGCCAGTGGAAGGACTCCCGTTGATTTCAGCTGGAATGGAATCAGGCCATACTATATTCAGATGTGCTTTCTGACCTTCTAACCAGCTTTCTCCAGTTCCTGTGTTCTCTGTCATACCAGAACCTGGAATGGTAGAATAGGCTGGTGGAAAATCTGAAAGTAATAGTCTATTTTTCATAATCGTAACTCTAGTGAAGCATTTTTTAAACTCAAATAGTAATATTTTTATATGCAGCTATCCACAAAGCTCTATACCGGTGAACTGTGTAAAAGAAAAAAAATGTGATGATATTTCCCAATTTTCAAATATATAGATCACCTACTGATTTTCCTGGGGAGATTCCTTGGGAATAGACCATAGAGTCTTCTGTCTGGAATGTAGCTTGATTGAGCATCAGCATCAGCAAAGCCACGCACAGACATTAACATTCAGAATCTAAACCTGATTCCTTCCGAAGACGAGTTGTTATACTAATGGTGGTCAGTACAACCTGCCATAGACTAATAGTGTCAACCACAATTATATTACAGGTTTCCAAAAAGTCTGAAGTCTGAGACAGTGGGCACGTCTACACAAGATGCTACTGTGCAGTCATTACTGTGCATTTATTTACTACGTATAAAGTACTTGCAAGTACTAAATAAATGCACAGTAACTGGAGTTACTGCACAGTAGCACTGGTGAATGTATTTTAGGTGATGCTACCGCATGGTAGTGTATTAACACTGTCTGCGCTGTGATGTGCTACTGCGCAGTCAGCGTCTCGTGTAAACGTGCCCAGTGATGAGTATGCCATCTGTTTGTCTGAATTGTCATGTTTGTTTTATCAGCCATTTGTTTAATGGAAATGTGCGTTTTCACTACCCTTTTAAATGTAATCTCAATTCACAGCTTCACTACAGTGAAATAACCATTTCTTTGTGGTGTTTTACCTGATTGGATCATGCATCTTTTCCAAAGAGATTACTTTAAAATATTTTGTGGCATTTCTAGAGGCTGTCCCTTTCTTCCTCTCTCTTTTCATCCTCCGAATCACAATCACCAAGAAAAAGATATTTTTCTTATCCTGGCTACTATTTTGAGTGAAATTTGACTTTTGGGAGCAGTGGTGGCCTTTTTTAGTCGTTTTTTCCCCCCAGAGTAGGTTCCAAAATAATATCAATTCTGTATTAAATTATTTTGTACTTGTTGTATGGAGGGGCTCACTTTTATGTTTTATAAAAAGAAAAAGAAAAGAAATCTGGTCAGAGAGGACGGGGAAGGATGGACAGGAGAAGATGACAGGTGATGAATATAAGAGTGATCTGCAGAAGCGGGGAAGGAAAGAGACAAAGATATAGAGTTCAAATAAAAAAAGGAAAGTGCTAAAGAAAAAACACTAAAATGGAGGGTGTGAAGCATAAAACAGGAGAAGAGACTAGATTCTAGAGAAGGAAAATAACTATTAGGATCCCTCTAGTCCACCTTTGATAATAATTAGTATTATTATCTATTTGATATTAAATAGAGCTTTGTCCATTTGAATTTCAAATGTCTCAAGCAAGGAGGCCTCTACCCTTTCTCTGAGTAAACTGTTCTGTTGGAAGAAAGTTTTCACTTGTTATGGAGGCTTGTCTTGTCTGTGCAACACAGAGGTTCTGGAGAGCACAGGACTGACGCACGTAGAAATCACTATCAAGAAGAGGAGGTTGCGACGGATCGGCCATGTCTGGAGAATGGGAGACCATATCCTCAATAATATTTTTCTATAGTGAGATTCGAGATGGCTCTAGAAAGCAGGGTTGCCTTCTATGGGATTACCACAGTGTGTGCAAAAATTATATGAAGTCATTGAACATCAGCGCAGAAAGCCGGGAGGAGCGTGTAGAATCCCGTCCAATCTGGAGGGAACGTCTGGCACTGGGTGCAGCTCAACATGAAGCTGCTTTGATCCAGAAGATGGAAGCAAAACAAGAAAGAAGAAAGCAGAATGCTATAAATTTGAACTCCAATTTAGACAACATGTGAATCTGTGAAATTTGTAACAAGCTGTGTCACTCTCGAATTGGGCTGGTCAGCCACAAATGGATTCATCAGGCATCTGACTATAGACCTCTTACATGTGCATCATGATCCAGAGGATCAACAGTTGCCTACTGTGCAAGCATTTTCTCTTTATTTCCTATAATTGCACAAGGCCAGCATCAGCAATGGCAGAAGTGCTAATCTGGAGAGGATACCAAACTTTTAACCAACATGTCTTCTAACATGCTAAGAGCTGATGTAGAGGAGAAGGGGCCAGATTTTATTTTATCTATTAGCCATGATTCTATTCCACCCTGATCAAGTCTTTGAAAAGCAATTAATGCAAAAGCTGGGTGGTTTCACTTTCTCTTCCTCCTCCTTGCTGCCTTTTTTTGACTCAGTCTTAAGGGTACAGTGATGGTGTTTTACAAAAGCAGATGCAGGAAGGGACTTTCAGGGACTTGAACAGGGTGGAATAAACTCATACTCACATTTCTATAGAAATTTAGATTTCAATCCAAAAGAGGGAACACAACTTTTTTTGTACCTTTTTTTTTAATAAACTAGTGTGCAACTACGGAATTAGGAAGAAATGCTAGCAGAGACAAAATGGAACGGGGGAGAGAAGCATGAGGAAGAAAGGAACAGTGCTGTTTAAAAACTGGCTGTCTGTGGGGTGGAGAAACCTGTCAGAGACAGAAGGATGACAGGAAGAGAAAATAAACTGTGAGAAATAAAGGTGTTTAAACATAATTAGAAGGGGAAGGAAGGCATTAAGCTCTGTCTTCCACCGCGAAGGAGCCGGTTGGAAAGCAGCTGTAATTCACAGGAGATGCAGCACATGGATTGTTTCTTTGCAACTGTTCTTTCCAGTAAAGGCTGTCATGGCTTCTTTCTCTCCACTCCCCAATTGAGCTAGTTCAGAAAACATACAAATTCTCCTCAGTACTTGTCTCCAAATTGTTGGCAGCCCTGAAGGAACAACCCTGTGGCTGCACAGCAAGGATCTAATCATCTAAGATCTGAACCATGCGCTACTCCCGCCTCCTTTTCAGATCAAACGGTTTCAACATATACAAAAAAACCCCAAAGGCAGAGGCGAGAGATGTAGCAATTCTTGTGGATTGCCACATTCCATTTCTTTAAGAGCTGCTGGGCTGCTCCATTGTGGTCAGGGAATGAAGTAAAACAGCATGAAAGGCAACAAAAAAAGAACTATGGCAAGGGGGAGTATAGCAAAGGGAAGATCAAGGAGGAAATGGCCAATTTTCTTTACATGAAAATTACAGAATCCCCCATGAGTTTCTGGGCATTGGCCTTTCTGATCTGGATTGCTTTCCTGAGTTCACCGGTGGATTTTGCAAGGATTGGCAATGCAAGTGGAGCAGACATTACAGAAATTCTTTCCAGGCAGAGGGTCAGAAGAAAATAACTGTAATGTCACCTTAATGCTTCAGTGTTGTGGCAGATTTAAAAAAAAAAAAAGAATTAGAAACACACTTTTTGCTCCTGGGGGTTTCCATTGGATTTATTCTTTAAATATTCCCATTATAAATCCTAGAGTAGTCTGCTTTACTTTGCTGTAAATCGCAGCAAATCAGTGGGGTTTTTTTTCCTTTTTACATTCAAGCAGGTAAACATGAAGCTTTCTCTTATTTGTAATGGAAAATAAGCTAAACTATTTGGCCCCAATTTCTTTCTCACTGGGTGCATCTACATGTGTGCTTTGCTGCAGTGTTGACTAATTAGCTGTACAGTAAAGCATCACTATCTACACGTGCACTGGTATTAGGGTGCAATAAATTAACTAACTCCATCATAGGATAGTACTGTCCCTGACAGTACTACCCTATGGCAGAGTAATTATGTGCACTGAAATTCAGATGGTGTAGATGGTGACCGGGGCTGGCTGGGGCACAAGGGTGCTAAAGTTCAGGGGCTTTGTGCACAGCTCCACACTTTAACAGTCTCGCATCTCAGCCGGCCCCTCTGCTGCCTGACGCCACCACCCAGAGCCTGGGGCTGACCCCCAGAGCCTGCTGCCAGCCCAGGGCTGCTCTGTCCTGGCTTGGACTATTGCAGTCCCAGGCTCACGTGCAGACGCTGCACTCGAGAGCAGCTGACTCAGGTGCAAACTGTGCCAGAATGTATTTCATCATATGAATAGGACATGTAGATGCACCCACTAACACCTATTTTATTCTGGTGTAACCTTATTGATCTCAGTGAAGCAATTCTCCATTTTTACTGGCATAAGCAAGAAGAAAATCAGATCCTTGTCTTAAAGAAATGTAAAAGTTTAAGACATTAGAAAATCAAATTAAAATGTTAAAAAGTTAAAAATTTAAGATGTAAAAAAAAAGAAAGAGTGAAGCCTTCCCCCATGTCTCTTGCTTTAATTCAGAAGCAGAGGCCTAGCAAGTTCCTGACTGTTGTATGGTTCTTTTACAGCCAGCCCACCTTCAAGGAAGGCAGCAGTCCTTAAATAAATTAAATACATTGAATCTGCAAACTCTGGCTGCGTCCAGATAAGCGTGGCTTTGCAGTATGTGGTGCCGCAAACCTCTCTGCGGC